AAGTTATGCATTAACAATGATATTGTTCTTGTATTAATTAAACTTTTTATGAGGTATTTTATATTTTCATAATTAATGAAAAGTAAATAGCATTGTTACTTGTAATTATTATTTAGTCACGCAAAGAACGTTTAACTTAGTCACATGATGTGAACAGATTTAATTAATTAAAAAAGTAAATAGCATTGTTACTTGTAATCATTATTTAGTCACGCAAAGTAACGTTCAACTTAATCACATGATGTGAACATATTTAATTTGTTTTTTATGAATTGTTTGATTGTGATATTTTAAGTAGATAATTTTAATATAAAAGACAATATTTCTCATTCTCAATTTATATAGTTCAATTTAAATTCCAAAAGTTAAACAGTTTGACTTTTTTTATTGTGAATTTGTATATGTAAGTATGTAAATTTATTCGAAATAAAACAAAAACCATGTGAATATGTATGATTGGGATTTGGAGAATTTATAGTTTTTAATGTATATTTTATTTCAAATAAATTTATATATTTTACATTAAAATTCACAATAAAAAATAAATTTGTTCAATTTTTAAAATTTAAACTAAACTATATAAATTGAGACATGAGAAATATTATATTTTATGTTAAAAATATTTATTCAAAGTATCACAATTGAACAATCATAAAAGACAGATTGAAACTGTCCACATCATGAATATCATAAAAATTATTTTGTGTAACTAAATAATAATTTCAAGTAACAATGTAAATCATATTTAATTAATAAAAAAATAAAAGTTATTTTGCGAACACTAAATACTAATTACTAGTAACATACGATATTATATTTGATGAATGATAAAAACTCTTCATTTATCAATTGGACATATCACATTATACCGATTGAGTTGAATTAATTATAAAAAGATCTGTCAATAACAACACACGAGACAATTAATTTCCTAATTGATAGTTTAATATTAATACATAAATGATAAAATATATTTTTTGTATTAGTAACTTACACCAAGTTAATATAACTTATTATAATAGTAAAGTAATTTAATAAAATATAAAGCCTCTTAATTGATTATAATTAAATTGAAATTATATATATATACACAACATTTCAATTTCAATAAGTAAGATTCAGAGAAATATAATGTATGTAAATTTTCTTTTTATATTTTGCTTGTTTGAGTAAATTATAACAGAATAATAAATAGTAACAAAATTATTATGTAACATTTAAAAAAAAAACATAATTAATTCACGTCACTTTGTTATCATTTTATCCCACCGATTTGATGATACAAAAAGATTATTGAAACTAATTGCCCATTTTCCAGATAATTAATACATGTCAATGTATTTATACAAATATCTGAAAGATTCATAAATGGTTAGAGAAGAAAAAAAAAATTGGTTCTTTGAAAAGAAATAGAAAAGTATTATTCACGTGATGATATGTTTTTATATATAATTAAAAAAATAAAAAATGAAAAATTTGTGCTCTGAAAGAAACAATAATTTCTTTTTAAAGTACGAGATTTTCATTCTTTTTTTTTTATTAATTATATATATAAACATATCATCATCACATGAATAATACTTGGTTATTCTTTTCAAACTTATTTTTAATTTTTTAATGGTTAATGAAGATATTTTGTGTAAGGATTCTTTTGGTCAAATTAAAAAAATTAAATAACGTTCCAAATTTTTAGAAATTATTACTATAAATATTAAATATCAATTGCCTTAATTTTTTGTTTATGAAATTAGGCGATATATGCAAACATATTAAATTTAAATTTAATATTGTCTGAAAGGATATCTTCTAAAGGAATTATATTGTACACAAATAAAATCTAAATAAACCTAGTAATAAACTATTTGATTAAATTAACCTATGAAATGAACATTTATTTGAAAGCCTTTAAAAGATGGGAACGTTTAATTTTTTTATTCGTCAAGTGATTAAATTAAACATGCATATATACATTTCATCATGATTAATTTGCAAGTTTAGTAAGTAGAAAAAATGACATGTATTTATTGATTTGTGTTTAAAGTTGATCAACTGTCAAATATTAATATTATCACTAATTATTATTAAAAATATTTATGATTGTGGAACTATTTTAGCACTAAAGTAATATTTACACTAAAAGCATATTAATTAATTTGATATTAGTCAAACAAATGTCTAACACACTAAGAAATACCACGAATTTATATTTAATACAAACCAGATAGAGTGTAATATTAGAAGAATTAATGTGTTTTTATTTTTTTTAACAATTTAAAGGTAATAAATTAATTAAAGCTATGTAAATCAGAAATATACATTTGAACCATATATTAGTGATATTTAGACCTTTTTTTTTTTTTTGATATTTAGACTTAATATCTTAATCAAAACCTAGGTTAAGAAAATAGTTATATATCGGCACAAATATAACTAAATAACCATGAAATATTAGTAGATCATATTTTTATAATGCATAAGAAACTCATTCAATGATTGCGATTTTATCACGTTCTTTCAAATTTTCATCCAGAGGACAATAATGTCTTTTATGTTATCAATGTTTAGGTACTTCTAACACTCTTATAAAGAAACTCATTAATTGGGAAACTTTCACATATATTCATCTAAAAATAATTAATTACTCTCCATAACTATAGTTTGATAATTACAATTTGTAGTTACATGTTATATGGGGGAGAGAGGCGAGCGAGACTGAGAGAGAGAGGAGAGAGGCGAAAGAGAGGGGGGAAAAAGAGTGGGAGAAAGGTGAATCGTATATGTATATTGGTTAGATAATTGTATATTATACACATGTATTTTGTATATGTGTATGGCAAGAGAGATTGGGAGAGGGAGGAGAGAGGCGAGCGAGACTGGGAGAGGGGGGAGAGAGGCGAGCAAGAGAGGGCAGAGATTGGGAGAGAGGTGAATTATATATATATTTGTATATTATACACATGCAATTGTATATATGGCGAGAGAGATTGGGGGATGGAGGAGAGAGGCGAGCGAGAGAGGGAAGAGAGTGGGAGAGAGGTGAATTGTATATATGTATATTTTAAATAATTGTATATCATACATATGTATTTATATATTATGGCGATTATACATATACAAACGTGACTAATTATACAAATTCGAAATCTGCACACGTAATTAATATATAATGTTAGTCGCGACTGCTAATTATAGCAAACTATAACTATGATGTGTAATTAAATAATATAAATTTCTTTGTTGCATAATTTTCCCTTAATTAAAACCTTATAGTCTTTAAAGGTAATAAATTAGTTAAATCTATATAACTGAGAAATACACCTATAAACCATATCTTGGTGATATTTAGGCTTAAAATCTAATCAAAACTTAGGTTAATTTTTTTTTTTAAATCTATTCAAAATGCAAGGTAAAAATATATAATAATTCTCAATATATAAAAAAATTTAACCTAATTGATTTAATTTTGAACAATAACCTGAATGTGTATGTGGAAATTGATATACTTAATAATTTATGTGGAAATTGATATACTTAATAATTTAAATGTTTTGCGGAAATTGATATACTTAAACATCTAAAAGAAGGGAAGTCAATCATTATTAAAATCTATGATCTTTGAAGTATTATTTTTTTTTCAAAAAAAATAAAATAATTTCTTTAGCTACATGTACTTACTACCTTTGAAATTCATATTTATAAATCTTTAGTAGTAAAAAAAAAAAAAAGAAAAAAAAATTCTTTAGTAGTAAATAATATTGTAAAATTTTGTACAGCAGTTGAAATTTAGTTGATTTTCTTTTTTTGGGATGATTATTAATAACTAGGTGGAATCACTTGTGATAGGTCATTTTTAGATTAATTGAGCGTTTTATGCTTTATAAATTTCGTCGTAATATTTTACATATATATTTTTTATAAATACCGACACAAATATAACTAAATAGCCCTGAAATAATAGTAGAACATATTCTTGTAAATTATATTGCATAAAAAACTTATTCAATAATTACGATTTCATTAAATTCCTTCATATTTTAAGCTATAGGGTAACACTATCTTTTACGTTATCGATGCTAGGTACTTCTAATACTCTACCTTATAGTCTGATATTTTAATTTGAAGAAAAAATAACAATGATAGCTCTAACCTAATAATGCTTCAAAGTTTATATTCCTGGTATTTCATACTATTATTTTATAAATATGTTCAGTGTTGATGAAACTATGAAAACATAAATAATAAATTATATAAACCAATAGAATAAATTAGGAATAAATGATATCTAAATTAAAAATCTAATTGAAACCTAGTTTAAAGAAATAGTGATGTCACTGGAAAAAAAAGTGTACTTAATTAAAATCTAAGGTAAAAAATATTATTATTATTTATGGATATTATTTAAAACTTAATTACATCATCATCTTTTTCTTGTTTTTTTCACCCAGTGTGGTTTCATTATCACATTTAAATACAATTAAATTAAGTTAAAATTAAATACTATTCCAACTATTTTATCCTAATATTTTTATACCTGCCATAACTCGTGTAGCACCCCACCCCCCACGCTCTACCCCTACCCCCTCAGTCACATTTTTCATCAATCATTCTCTGTCTTAATTCACTTTCTTTTCCTCCAATCATATCATTCTTATTATTATTTTTTTTTAAAAAATAATTATATTATATAGTATTTGTTTATTTATTTTATTATTATACTTGTATTTTTATATGTATATATATATGTCCTGTACCATAGTTTTGTATGCACTTTCAAAGAGTGAAAATTGAAAAAAAGAAAGGTATTTCTCTTTCTGCACGTCTCTCAGGGGTGTGTATTCATCTATATTTTTTTTTTCTTTTATTCATTCTGCTTGATCGTGGTCCACTTTTTATGGAGTTTATGTTCTGGTAATTTTTAGCCATTTTTTTTACTCTTTTCTTTTCTTTAGAGTGGTTTGATTTTGCTACCTTCTGCTACTGTTGTTGAGGTTTTTTCTTTTGTTTTACTTCTTTTAGGCTTTGTTTGGCCTAAATTCTGAATCTTTTTTTGCGGGGTTGTGTTGAAATTGAAGTTTGGAAGTTGTTTTTTTTTGAGGGTGTGTTTGGGTTGTTCGGTTTTAGTCTAGTTATTTAGGTTTTAACTTTGCTGAGTGTTTCTTGCATGTTTTTTTTTTCTGTGTAAGCTTTTTTTTTTTTGTTTGATGATGTTTATTTGTTGTGTGCTGGTATTGGGGTTTGAGAAAGTTGGGAACTTTAATTTCAGTTAAGTGGTTTTGTAAATGGAGTAAAGAAAGAATCTTTAACTGATGTCTCTAGAATTGGAATTTGTTGTTTTAGGTGCCTGTTGAGTAATGAGGTTTTTTTTCTTTCTTAGGGAACACTTTTTTGTTTGTTTGTTGATGTTTAGTTCTCGTGTGCTGGTATTGGATTTTGAGGAAGTTGGAAACTTTAACTTCATTTAGGTGGTTTGTAATGGAGTGAAGAAACGATCTTTAATCTTGTACCTCTAGAAATGGAATTTGTTGTTTTATGTGCCTGTTGAGTAATGATTTCTTCCGTCAGTCTTGGTATTGGTAGGGTTAAGGTCCGGCTCAGACCCCATTTGTGGTTGTTGTTGTACTTTTAATGTCTAGAATTAGAGCTTTGGCGAGTGGTTGTGCTTTTTTTTTGTTATGAGATGAATGAATTTGTCCAATAACTGATGTTGGTCTAAGTTCTTCTGTCTCATTGTTTATTCCTCAACTTTTATGTTCAGTTATCTGGGAAGTTGTTTACTGCAGATTGGGAAGAATAGATGTTTGCCGAGTAGGCTGATCGGTATCTTGGCCTCATTTAGTTATTACCAAGGTACAAACATGGAGTCAGGTCTCCATTAGGAATTGAAAGTTGCTTTTGAAAAAAAAAGAAAGACTAGTTCTTTAATTAAAGTTGGTGTCTCTGGGGACTCTCTACGAGGTAGGGTTAGGGTTTGCGTACACTTATGCTCCTAGATCCCACTTGTGGGATTACACTAGGTAAGTTGTTGTTGTTGTCTTTGGGGGCATCTAGTGGGTCTAGAATTTTGAGGAGAAGCATCTTGCACCAAGTTGAAATAATTGATTGATTGGTGTAGCCGTGGACCCAAAGATGAGTATCATCTGTTTGCAAGTGTACAGCTTTACCCAAAATTTAAGAAGTTGAAAGCTGAAACAGGAGCAAGAGAGGTTTAGAATTTTTATTATGCTGTTATCTTTGCTCTCTATTAGAGCTGGTAAAGAGCTCTTAATGTTGTATCAACTAGCATTCCCAGCATGTATATCACACCTGTTTGGTTGTTATTTTTTTTGTTAAATGCTCTCTGGTTTCTTTAGCTAATGTATATGAATCCGAACTATGAAACCCTCCAATTATTCAGAAAGAAAATGAATAATGCAGATTAAATCACATAGCAAATGTGAAGGTGATAGGAGAGACTCAACCCCAGATGTTCCTCGCAATCACATAATGTTGACAATATCACTTGAGAATATACGCTAGTATGTTTTAGGTGGCTTGTGTGCACTTAATCTTAGCTGGATCGCTTATCAATTTGTTAAGATGGCTTTTTCTAGATTTTATTTTAAATGTAAAAGGCAGCATTGCGTGGACAAGTGTTTTCAACTATGCAATGGTCCCTGGGGATTCTCCAGAAATGATACTGTATTTATTAACCTTACCTAATTATGCTGCATTACAGATATTCTGAAGATGCCAATGATAAATGTATCTAAAGAAAAGGGAAGAACACCATGGGAGATTCGTCCAGGATCTAATTCCGTCCTTATCACTAATGATGCCTCTCTTTTCACAAGCTCAGTGCCTGTTCTTCAACATGAGAAGCGTATGAATACATTGATGAGTCTTGTACTCGTACTGCATATGCCCATTTTCTTTTGGAAAATCCCACATCTTCTTAATGTCTTTGAAATTCTTGGATGTAGTGAAAGTAAGTGACGGCGACCATGGTCATCAATCCGTTGATGATGCATCACCAAGCTTGACAATTCACCCGGATGTAGAGGTTGATGTGCTGTTGGATGATGGTGAAAATCGTGCAATTGGAAGCTTGCTTCCAGATGATGAGGATGAACTTTTAGCTGGGATAATGGATGGGTTTGACCCTAGTCAGCTTCCCAATCACACAAATGACTTGGAAGAGTATGATTTTTTTGAAAGTATAGGAGGCTTAGAGTTGGAGTTTGATGGTCAGGAACACTTAAACCTGGGTATATCGAGAGTAAGTCTGGCTGATCCAGATAGCAATGGAGCTGCTATTTATGGACTTTCAAATGGTGGGGGTGCGGTTACTGGAGAACATCCACTTGGAGAGCACCCTTCAAGAACATTATTTGTTCGCAACATAAATAGCAATGTTGAGGATGCTGAGCTAAGAACTCTCTTTGAGGTTAGTTGCTTTACACTGGATAACTATGATCTTTGTAATTTCACGTGACCCTCTTTTCCGGTTTTAGTGCTCATTCCTGATGTGTTTCCTGCATATGTATAAATAGTTTTCATGAACGTGTGTTGCATGTTGATCTTCAATCTTTACCTAAAGTTTGTACTACAAAATAGTTAACCAGAAAGATCTTTAATTGAAAGCTATATCACTTGAGGAAATATTTGTGGTTACCAAAACAAGAAGAGCTTTTCAATTATGTTTTCTAAGTCAATTTGAATTAGTTCCAATAGGTGAATTTGGGTTTGTTTTATTTTCTTTAAAGGGTGAATGTAGAACTAGAATCACAGATTTGGAAATGATATTGAATTTATTAATATAATTTGCATGAATTTTGCATGGCCTCATGTTAACTAAACAACCAAGGTGTTAGACTGTATGGATGAATGATAATTCAATTTTAGCCTTAGAACCTTACCACGTTTAGTAAGATATATGATATGATGGTAATATAGTATAATATAATTTGATGCTGATGGTAATATAATATAATATAATTTGATGCTTTGTCTAGTTAGGGATGGGTTCTGCTTGTCAGTTTAATAATTGGTCTAGAACCATATTGCTTCCCGGTCTTCTTTTTTGAAATGCTGGATGAATATTTATGGAGAAAGATTTCTTTTCTGTAAACAATACGCGAAGGTAGTAGTAGTTGAAAAGAAGGAGCTTAATGGGTTTGTCTTTTGCAATTTCTGGAGGCTTCATCCCGATCCCAAAGCTTTTGTATTTCTTTAATCTTGATCAGTAGAACTCTACTTTTTCCTTTTGGTATAAAACAATGATGTTCTGATTATTGTGAGTTTGTCTTGTACTGATAGTATTACCTTAGTCGAGTAAATTCAATGGGTATCTGTGTTCATGAGATGCTTCATCTGTTACGGAAACCTGTTAATCTTATTATGTTATCGTTGTATGAGCTGCAAATTTAGCTGAGCATGTTCCATGTCAAAGCACTGGCCTAGGTGTTTGCAGTATCGCATTTGAGTCTAATGGTTGCTTGACAGACAAGAATGTATTGTAAAGTTGCTGATTTATAAGGTGTTTTTTCCTCCTCATAATCATGTTCAGTTTTTAACATGCCGCTCTTTTTCTTTTCTCTTATAATTAGCAATATGGTGATATCCGAACTCTCTATACTGCCTGTAAGCATAGGGGCTTTGTCATGATATCATACTTCGATATTCGTGCTGCTCGAACTGCAATGCGAGCATTGCAAAATAAGCCTCTGCGAAGGAGAAAACTAGACATACATTTCTCAATCCCTAAGGTACTTCTTCGTCTGCTACTTTGAATGGTTTTACACTATTACATTGTATGCTAATTTTTTGAAAATTAAAAAATAAAAATTGAAAATTATTACATTGTATAATATTTATTTGTTTTGTTTCCTGACTAACCTCCTCTCCCTGTCCTGTTATTCTTCTCTCTGCCCCTCAATGTATTATATCAGGATAACCCCTCTGACAAAGATGTAAATCAAGGAACTCTTGTGGTTTTTAATTTAGATCCATCTATATCAAATGATGACCTCCGCAGAGTATTTGGGCCTTATGGTGAGATCAAAGAGGTCAGAGACTCGATTGGTCAAATCATTTGTTTCCCATTTTACTCCATCTATTCATTTTCTCTCGTGTGCTTCCTCAAGGAGCTAGTTTATGTCAAGTACATATGACATCCCACCTTCTCGCAGATAAGGGAAACACCATACAAGAAGCACCATAAGTTTATCGAATATTACGATGTCAGAGCTGCAGAAGCTGCCCTTAGGTCCTTACATAAGAGAGACATAGCTGGCAAGCGCATAAAGCTTGAACCAAGCCGCCCTGGAGGAGCTCGACGAAAGTGAGTAATCCACTTTAACTTTTTCTTGATAAAAAAAGAAAAACTAGAGCTTTCGAAGCTTATGCTAGTCCTTTGTTTCTGAATCACGAGCTTCGCCACCATTTTGCTGTTACAGTAACTAGAACAATTACATTTGATTTAGACCTCCCCCTTAGGCGCCACTGTTGGAAGTGTGCAATATTTTATTTTTCCTTCCTTTCATTTGCTTTCGGTTTTGCTGAATTAGATTACAGAATTGTGATCGACCAGCAAGCTCTCCCAATCTTCCCACACTCTCATGCAAGGAAAAAGGAAATTACTTAAGCCCTAAATTGATGAGGAGAGCAATGGAGATACTGTATCACTTAAGAAGCATGCCCTTAGGGCGTCGGTTTGTAAGGGAGTTAGTCGTCTGCATTACCTTCATCTAAGTGGCAAACACTATACAAATATTCTGCTGTGTGTACACCTTTTCCAGGTGTCTCACTATTTTGATTGAGCAGGAATGACTTGAGAGGCTTACCTTTTGTTTGAAAGGCCACAATTGGAAAAAAGAAAAACTCAGACAATTGATTGATATAGAAATCTGGGATTCTGATTAATCTTTTTCCAGTTGCTTGAGGTCTGGATACTCATGTAAGAAACGCTTTGTCATAACTCCTTTATGGGTGCAGGTCTGTGGATATTCTAGTGGCACAATTTTAATAAACAATGTTGTCGGGAATGAGTGAGTGGTATGTGAGTTTTAAGATTTACAGGAGATCATCTCAAAAGTGCCAATGATTTGTGCCTTGAAGGATTAGGCAATGGAGGAATTAGTACTTTTGCATCCATCCACTACTTTCTTGTGACAAGTTGTTACTTGGTGTGTGTGTATATATGTTCTCTACTGTAGAGAGAAATGAGAAAGTTAAAAGTAGTTCATACATCTGAAAGTACGTGTAATCACATGAACGACTTAAAATGACACGATGTTGCCCCGTTGCACTCCTTTTTTTCTTCGGTTTAAACCATGTTTATTTGTATTACTGAGATTCTTTAGCTTCTTTAAGTGGGCTACTCATCAGGTTCTTCTCCTTCTTCCTGGACGCCTTCTGCTCTTTATATAGCCTTAAACGTGAGCTTTTATGAACATGCCGTCATACTAAATCATTTTGATATCAACTAAATTTCTAGATCTTGATGATGTTCATAATGAGTCTCTTTTTGTTGGATGTTCCTTCAAGTTAGTTTACCTTAGCCACAAATTCAAGGTTGCATTATTTAATATGTTTCTGTTTTTGCAATGATACATATTTGGGTTCTGTTTCTTGATTTTTGATCTTGGCATTCTTTTTTTTTGTATGTGTGTGTGTTGCACTTGTAGTCTTGTATTGCAATCATCTCAAGACTCTGAACAAGATGATTCTTGGACTTTTCGGCATCCATTGGTTTCCTCAATTGGTACTTCCTCCCCAGGTAAGTTTACTGAGGGTTTCGACTTCTGTATGTTGTTGAGACAATTGACGGTCTTTATTTCCTTCTGTTTGTGCCTGTCTTTATTTTTTTAAATTTGGGTCGGTTAGAGGGGGGGGGGGTACTTAATTAATTGAAACTTCTCTGGTTGCAGCTACACCATCTGATAGTATGGGTATTGCTTATATTTCTGGCAGGTAATTGGCCACAATTTGGCAGCCCTATAGAGCACGGCTCCATGCAAAGTCCTGGCACTTCACCAGGCTTTAGATCCCTGAGTCCCACCATTGCCAATAATTTACATGGGTTAGCTTCAATTTTGCATCCTCGTGCATCAAATACCTTGAGGGTAGCACCTATTGGTAATGCTCGCACAATGAGTGGCCGTGCAGATTTCCCTATTGGTTCAAACCATGGTGTTCCCTTCCCTCAGTCTAATTCTTTCGCCGAGCCTAAAATAAGCCACTTTGGTGGAACAATGTCCTCTTTTGGTGCTTCAAGTACAAATGGTTCTGCTGTTGAAACACTATCAGGACCACAGTTTCTCTGGGGCAGTCCAAAGTTGCAGTCTCAACAGAGTAATTCTTCAGCCTGGAAAACTGAGTCTTTGGGAAATGCTTTTTCATTTGGTGGTCAGGGCGACAGGTTTTCCTTGTCAAATCATCAAAAATCTTTCCTCAATTCATCTCAGCACCACCTTCATCATATTGGATCTGCTCCATCTGGTCTTCCCCTTGATAGGCACTTTGGTTTTTACCCAGACTCGTCAATCTTGAGCCCAGGTTTTAGGGGCATGGGTATAGGTACTCGTGATGAAAGTTTGATGGTTAACTATGGTTCTCGTACTACTTTGAATGCTGGTGTTGCTGTTCCAAGGAATATGTCAGACAATGCTTCTCCTAGGTTTGGCATGATCTCTTCCCAAAAACTTAGTCCATTGTTCCTAGGTAATGGTCATTTCCCAGGACATGCAGCTACTAGCTTTGAGGGGCTGACTGAACGCAGTCGCACTCGACGTGTTGAAAATAATAATGGGAACCAGATGGATAACAAGAAGCTCTTTCTACTTGATTTGGATAAGATTAGATGTGGTGAAGATACTCGGACAACTTTGATGATTAAAAATATTCCTAACAAGTAATAGCAACTTCTCAATGTTTGTACATTGTTGTTAAGTATGTCCTATTTTCGTATGAGTGACAGTTGACCTTGTCTTTCTCCAGGTACACCTCCAAGATGCTTTTAGCTGCTATTGACGAACAACATAAAGGCACTTTTGATTTTCTGTATCTGCCCATCGATTTCAAGGTAATCCTATAGTAGTTAGGATTATGTGGTTTCCTTTTTGTTTCTCAAAGTCTGATGGAAATCCTTGTTTGCGAGCAGAACAAATGCAATGTGGGATATGCCTTTATCAACATGTTGTCTCCATCACTCATTATCCCATTTTACGAGGTTTGTTTTTGTCTATTCTGTCAAATGTATGATATTACTTACTTTTTCTAAAGTGATTGGGCTATGAGCTTTGAAGCTATGCCTCTCCTTGTTTTATAGTTCCTGCCTTCCTGGTTATATATAAAGGTTGCTATGCCTTCTTAATTATCTCTTCCTTCTATTGTTTTTGCACTCTTGAACTTTTGAAGCAAAAGTGTGGTTCTGAGTATTCACTTTGTGCAGGCATTTAATGGAAAGAAGTGGGAGAAATTTAATAGTGAAAAAGTTGCTGCTTTGGCTTATGCTCGTATTCAGGGAAAGACAGCCCTTGTAGCTCACTTCCAGAATTCAAGTTTGATGAATGAAGATAAGCGATGTAGGCCAATCCTTTTCCACTCAGAAAGTTCAGAATTGGGGGATCAGGTAATATAGACCATCTTGTTTAGAATTAAGCATGCAAAATGTAACTACTGTTATGTCATGCATTGCGATTCAGCTAGCTTTGATTTTTTCCCCCTAATTTTCAGGCTATATGCTTGTTGAGATGATAATATTGAAACTGCATCTTTTTCATCACAACATAATCGTATCTTAAGATGAAAACTTGCCTGCAGATTGTTCAGGAACATCTTTCATCAGGCTGCAGCCAACCTGAGGATCCAGTTGGCAAATTGGAGAATCGCTAGCAGTAGCATTGAAATGTTTTTTTTTTGCTCGCGGCTTTAAGAGTGCAGCTGGCTAGTACAAGTGTGAGATACATGTGCAGAGTAGCATGATTTGAGGCACAGAATAGAAGTATGAAGATCTTTTGTATTATAATGAGTAGGTGTTTTTGGTTCAAAATCTAAGAGGGGGAGGGTTCTGTTAGACTAAGTACATCAAGCATCTGTGTAGTTCATGTTGTAATCCTATGGCAAGTTGAAATGGCAAAGGCTATCTCAACATGGCATGCAAGGTCGTAGTTTTGTAACATTGTTTTGGTGGTTAGAGTGAAGAGGGGATGCTTGAAATTTGTAAAGTGGGAAGGCAAGCTGGGCTGTTGTTTTGTATCAAACAAGCATTTTGGTATTTATGTGAAACTTGCTAGAAAATTGCATAAAATTGTTTGTTTCATTTTTACTTTTCATCTCATTCAACTTTTCAATTTAACTTCTCTCTTCTAAGTTTGCCTTTGTTTTATTGTCCTTTTTTTAAAGAAAAATTTTAACAAACCTTTGCAAGTAATTATGTGAAGTTTTTGAATAATGTTTTCTCTATTAACTTGCAATGTCCTTTTAGTCTGTTACTCGAGCTGAGTGTCTCTCAAATGGAAACAATTTAACTAGCTCCCTAGGTTAGAGTAAAGTTTACGTGCATGCTACTTTGCAAATAATTTTAGAAGCTTACATGTCCTTTAGTCTGTTACTTGAGCTTTTCTACTTTCCTATGTTAGGGTAAGGTTTACGTGCATGCTATCTTACAAACTATTTTAGAAGCTTAAATGGAAAATCTAAAAAAGCATATGAAATAATGTTATGCTCTTTGCAAATAATTTTAGAAGCTTACATGTCCTTTAGTCTGTTACTTGAGCTTTTCTACTTCCCTATGTTAGGGTAAGGTTTACGTGCATGCTATCTTACAGATTATTTTAGAAGCTTAAATGGAGAACCTAAAAAAGTATATGAAATAATGTTATGCTCTTTGCAAATAATTTTAGAAGCTTACATGTCCTTTAGTCTGTTACTTGAGCTTTTCTACTTCCCTATGTTAGGGTAAGGTTTACGTGCATGCTATCTTACAGATTATTTTAGAAGCTTAAATGGAAAACCTAAAAAAGCATATGAAATAATGTTATGCTTTTTGCATTCACGTTTTACGAATCTCTAATTGGTCGTTTGGATAGTGAGTAAAAATCATTATAGCATGTTATTCAATGAATGAATCGAGATGCATGCACACATAACAATTGCGCTTTTGATGAGGTATAGCACATTAAATTTCCAATACACAGTCGCGTTGGATGTCTAGTGCACTAGTAAAGAAGAACATGTAGACATTACAATCCCTGTACATACCTTGCCTGATATATTACTATATACAAAAGTGCACACTGTAGTTTCCGGTGATACTCTCCTTCTTCGTTTTTACTTGTCCATTTTAGACTTAACACGCATTTTAAGAAATAATGGTCAATATACTTTTCCCATATTATTTGATATTTAATCTTAGGTCTTAAAATGATTTGGGGAATATTTGGTCAATTCATTCAAATGAATGGAACTCTTCTACCCAGCATAACATGTTGGATCATTTTATTTGAGAAGATAGTCTTACAGTGTTCTTGATACAAACAATATACAACATCCACATGAAAATATATCCTATACCGCTGATAATAATCATAATTATGTACAAGGTAGGGGATCCAGAATCAACACAGGCTCTAGAAATACCACATATTTTCTTATTACAAAAAAAAAAGAGATTTACCTGAAGTGAAAAGAAGAGTTAAATGTACTTTGAGATAGGACACTCTGCCTGCATCCAAATTTGGATCACGTTTGTTTAGATTTCTATTTCTTGAGTAACTTCCAATTTCGGACCATGTTGTGTAGGCTTCGATGTTTGGAGTTCCACATCGATTAGGAAATAACATTTGTCTTCCCCTCTGACATAACGGACATGTCCATTCATTACATTGAGAAGTTTCTGGGCAACATTTAACGCGATTCCTTCTTGTGTTGTCCATCTATTTCTTTCTCCAGACATGTCATCAATTAGAGCAGCAGGTAGTCCTTGGCCAGGGTGAGTCATTCTAGAAAATAAAGTGTGTTTAATTTCACATAAACATTTAGCAATAGAAGTAACTTCCATACATACATATAATTACTGAAAGGCTATGCAAGGTGGTTTCGCTGATTATGACAAAGATGTTTAAGTTACAAAGTAAGACAATTGACAATGTTCTTCCTGATTTTCTACTCCTCACTTGAAGATTCAAAGAGCTTGATAAAAAAACAAATTCAGCTAAGTGAATGAAGCACCATAATATTCCCAATGATTAGATTAAACTCCGCGAAGCACTTCAACTGATTAGGCATTATACATTGCACGGTTGCATGAAAACAGACACCAGATAAAATGGGTAAGCTCATGCCCTTATGTAACAAACCATCAATAAATAAATAGCAGTGAAGTTACCTCAACTGGAGGTGGATTAATTCATTTCCATCTTGTATAAGTTTCAAACCAGGTAACACCTTGATTTCCACCCAACCATCCGGAGAAGGTGCATGGTGCACTACACTAAGCAAGAAATCTGACAGAACACGCTGAAGCTTAATTTGATCACCATATAGAGGAAGAGTTTTGATCTGGTCAGGGATATCATGCAGCAGCTGTAAGTTCTTTTCTTTCAAGAAAATCATTACTTGACTCACAATAGCATCCACAACATTTCCTAGCACGAATTCCTCCATGTTTAGCTGCACTTTGCTGCTAGAACCAGGAAAAAGTAATGTGCATTTAGCAAACCTTTCAGCCATAGAGAAACAATAGAAAGAGAAACGAAGAAGCAAGTATCAACATACATATATTATGGTGGCTCATTGTTGCACTAGCAAATACAAAGAGTCGTTTACAGTAGATTTTAGAAGAAGACTTTAAGTTTTAATGTGTTTGCAGTATTTTGGGTACTTCTCTCTCTTTTTCTTTGGTGCTCCTGTAAACTGATTCAACACTTTTGGAAAGCCGTTTCTACTGAAATTAAAAATTAATGAGTAACAGCTTCTCGAGATCGGGATGCAGTGTCCAATCTACACAAATTAATGTAAGCCGCAATAAGGGAAGAGTTGCAGTAAAGGAAAGAACAGTGGTAAGTGGTAACTGCTTCTTTGTAACCACTGGATGAACAACCCATTTAGGTCTTAGAAGAACAGATAATACAACTGGTTCTCTGAGATCATATATGATATTTTCTCCATCATTAAGTGACAACTAGTTGAGGTGGAAAATTGAAAAAACATAAGAAAGATAAAGAGCATATTAATCAAGTCCATATAGAAGAAGCATTACCCGTCCTCTATACCTCCAAAATCCATATTGTCAATAACAGACAGTATCTGTTTCTCACAGGCTTCACTTGTCTCCAGAAGCTGTTTCTGATTATCTGAAACACCGGTTGCTTCAAGAAGTTTATGGGTAAACTGGATTCCATTCAGTGGATTTTTCATCTGCTGTAGTACATAAGCATATTCTTTATATTTCCAAAGCGAATCTTTAGAGTCTTGTCTCTCATCTGATGCTTCTGGGTCAATCGTCATAGGCTGCAGGAAGCAGAAACACCCACATACATTCCCATGTTCATCAGTTCTCTTGTTTGCTGTTAGGAACACTTCCAAAAACTCTCCTCTCCTATTAAAAAAGCCAAAGGGAAGCTTTTTGGTGTCATGACCACTAATTGCTTGGTAGAAAAGAATCATAAATTTTGTAAGGGCATCTTGTCCCGTAAGACGACAAAGACCACCAAAAACTTCACCGGGAAGAGTCCTCCCCATGACCTCATATTTTGTCCAACCAGTCAATCTTTCCATTGCTGCATTCCACTCCGAACAACAAGCATTTTCATCAGAAGCAAATATTGGTGGAATCAATGGACTAAGACTTTGTACAATAGCCTCATAATCTCCTCGCAACTGTATGAATTTATCCATGATAAATTTCTCAGGAGTGACATCTTGAGCCACAAAGGACACACCAACAACACCATTTTTGTGGTCCCGGCTTGTGCAGGCATTGATCACAAGGTATATAACTGATCCTGGTGGATCTTTCCCAAACCTTCGCAATTTTATTTCCACATTTTTTTCCTCCTCACCTGAATCACAAGTGACAAAGATAGAGAGAGGGTGGGGAGTGAGAACAAGCTGGGGAATGTTAGTGGAAACTTCTGTGCTCAGGCTGTCAGTCAATTTTGACTTACCCAGACGAGGAAAAATATCTATTTTAACTAAAAGAGTGCACTGAAAGAGCAACCTAAGTCTACTATGCAGTGGAGATGACCGACTAGTCAATGCTGAAAGCATAATATCGCCCCAAGTAATGCAGGTAACTACGTATATATTACAACAAACAAGATGAAAGGCCAATTGAATAAGTGTAGGTAGCCAATTCTCTTACCAGTACGCCTGAATTTCAAATCTAAGAAGATATGCTATCATGTATGACTGCAATGCATAAAGAATGCAGATAAAATAACACCATGAGCAGATAGATAGAATTATAGCCATGTAGTATTAAGGACGTATCCAAATTTTAATGATTGCTATTAAGTCAACATAAGAAGTACCTAACAGAGCTCTATGTAGAACTTTTTCAACAGTTCCACGTGAATCTTCATGAGTAATATCATTAATGAGAGACATTCCAACTGCTTCACTAGCATGCAATCCTGTTAAGTCAGCAATCTTCTCATTCCATCCATTTATTAAGCCAGATGGATCAACTCCGAAAATTGGAGCAGTGGCTGTCTCAATCAATCTAACCATTTCCATTGCCACAGAACTAAGCTCATCCATGCTTGGCCCATCAGCATCATTCTGTTGAGAAGTAGTCAAAGTTTTTAGAGAGCTGTTTTCGTTCTCTTGGATTGATTCTCTCATTATGATTTGTAGAGAATGAATGGCATTAATCTCCGGAATCTCCCATGGCAAACTTCTGCTTTTAACCACTTCAAGAAAGGCATTAAATGAAGATCGTGGGTGCATTTTTCCTCCATCATCTTTATCATCTGGATGATGCTTAGCACCTCCCCACTTGACTTCCTTAGCTGTGTGAGACCTGAACCAGAATAGAAAATCCTTGGAAGTAATTCTCGCAGTAGCCATGCCACAAACAGCATCTCCCAGTAAAGCCGCACCAGGATAACCAGCATCCGCAAGGCAGTCAGTACTTAAACCTGTAGAGTCCTTATGAGCAACTAGTAACCACTGTGCAATATCTTTAACTTGTGCTTCAGTTGGTGTCACCCCAAGCAACCAACATTTTCCACCACAATAAAGTGCAGCTCCATCACACTTCACAAGGTCCATAATACTAGGGGATTGTGTTACAACGCCAAATGGAACATCTCGAAGAAGCAT